CCAGTCCTCTCACTAGAAATCACTTACCAGCAATAACTCTGTACAGCAGCTCACTGCATGGCAGGCTTCTCTGATTTGCAGCTGGACACAGCTGTCCCTCCGAGGCTAAACCCTGTCTGTCTTGCAAGGTTCAGCAGAATCTCTTCCTTAAGTATATAGGCCAGATTAAAGAATTGGGTCCCTTTACCCTATATGCCCAGAGCTCCTTCAATCACAGCAGAGGGACTAAAAGCATCATCCCTGAGGGCAATCATGCCAGTTCATAGCCCAGCTCTGCAGTACTACCTACAATCTCTCTCTCTCTCTCTCTCTCTCTCTCTCTCTCTCTCTCTCTCTCTCTGTGTGTGTGTGTATGTGTGTGTGTTTGTGTGTATGTGTGTGTGGTGCTTGTGCATGTAGGGGGTGATGCACATGCACGAAGAAGCCAGAAGAGGACATCAGGTGTCTTACTCTATCACGCTCCTTTGAGACAGATTCTCTGAATCACTGGCAAACCTAGTGATTCTCTTGTCTCTGCCCCCTCCCACTGTGAGATCACAGGCCTGCTCAGGACCACATGCAGCTTTTGAAGGTGCTGGTGTGAACTTAGGTCCTCATGCTTAAGCAGGAAGTTCTCTCATCCACTGAATCCCTCATTCATGTGTGAAACAACAATAAGAGTATTACCAACCTTCTCTACCTTAAATGAGTTAATGCATGTTAGTGTACTTTTTACCTGACTCCTGACAAGCATTCAATTACTGTTAGCTGTTAACACTAGCTTCATTATATTCTTATCACAATAGCCTAATAGTTCCCCCTGGTAGATCATAAACTTAATGAAGGCAGCCACTGCATCTGTCTAGTTTATTGCTCTGTCCCGTGGAATACCTGGCCCAGATACTACCCAGGAAATGTTTGTTGAATAAATAAACACTTTATCAACAGTATGAGGCATATATGCAAAGTCAAACATTATCCCAATTGGAATGGATTTCATTCACAGTAAAGAGTTTTTTAAAAACCTACAACTTGGTGAGTTCTAGAAGGCGACTGTAGAAAAAAAAAATCCCACTGTTGGCTCATAAAATCCCATGTGCTCATAAAAATCCAAGGCTAGCTACACAGAGAAACCCTGTCTCGAAAAACAAAACAAACAAACAAAAAAAAATCCAAGGCTAGAAACCTTCATTTGATCAAGAAAAAAGAAATCACCAGATCAGTCAGGAGATATTCAATGCCAAGTCAATGCCAATGGTCCATAGACCTCAGCCTTGTCCAAATCTGGCCTTGTGGAGTCTGATCAGAGACAAGGCAAGCGGGAAACAGTGAGTCAGAGTGTACCAGACCCATGTCAGGGTCCCCCAAGACAAGACATGTGGGAGACAGTGAGTCAGAGTGTGCCAGACCCAGGTCAGGGTCCCCTAGCATCTCCCTTGTTACATTTTTTTGTACTAGGCTTTTCCTTGCCATTCAGTCAGCAGAACTTCTACCCGCTGGCCCTCATCGTTCACTTGTTTGGACCCTCATGGCATAGTTATCCCTTGCAGCATCTGTGGATGTGGAGGTGGGAGAGAAGCCTGCCCAAGGATGATTGCGGCTAAGTATTTTCTGGTGAGTCGTGCCGTTTCATTCCGTCATGTCTGACAGGTGGGATGGGGGAGAAGGCGCCTGCATTTTTAGTCTCCTGCCATCGATCCTCTGGATAATTTACTTCCTTATCTCTTCCCTTGCCTTCACCTTGAGCAATTATGGCGCCTCTCTCTGCAGACGCTTAGTAATTGGAAAACTGGTTTACAAATCTGGTAACTTTTTCTTCCCTAAAGTTTTTTTTTTCCCTTATCACACAGAAAGGAGAGACAAAGATATGAGAAAGAATAAGAAGCATTCATTTCAGTGAGTTTTAAAGGATGAGAGTTGAATTTAACAACCCCACTTGTTACCTTTCAGACAGAATTTGAAGGTCACAGGAATTTGATCTTGGATATTACAGGGCTGATTTTCCATTAATTTAATGATTTTCCTTTAAGATACACTTTTTTTTTTTTTTTTTTTTTTGGAGACAGGGTTTCTCTGTGTAGCTTTGCGCCTTTCCTGAATCTCGCTCTGTAGACCAGGCTGGCCTCAAACTCACAAAGATCCACCTGCCTCTGCCTCCTGAGTGCTGGGATTAAAGGTGTGAGCCACCACCGCCCGGCTAAGATACACTTTTAAAGAGGGCTGAGGCCATAGGTCAGTCACTAAAATACTTACCTTGCAAACTTTATGACCTAAGTCTGATCCCTGGAACTGATGTAAAAAAAAGTCAGATGTGCTAGTTATGGGGCGGCATGCCCTTAATTCCAACACTTGGGCAGGGAGGCAGAAGCAGGTGGATCTTCAAGTTTAAGGCCAGCCTGGTCTACATAGTGTGTTCCGGGACAGCCAGTGCTACATAGTAAGGACCTGTCTCAGAGACAAAAGAAAAATTCAGATGTGGTAGTGGTAGTGTGAGTTTATAATCCCCATGCTGGGGAGGCAGAGACAGGGGCTTGAAGGTCAGCCAGCCTGGTACTTGAACTCCAGTGAGAAACCCTGAATCAAAACAAACAGAAAAAAAGATGTTACCTGAGAATGACAAGGTTGTTCCTGATCTCTTTATGCATATGCATATAAGCAACACACACACACACACACACACACACACACACACACACACACACACACACACACACTCACCCACAAGCATGCACACACACTGTTTTTTTTTTTAAGTGCTTGCAACATTTGTGCTGATTTGACAATATCTTTGTGAGTGTTTGGTGCAGAGATTGCCTTAGGACAAGGAGAAATAATAGTAGCAATTACAGCAGTAAACTTGAAGATGAAGACGGCTTATGTTCACCAAGGGCTGTGCCAGGCACACTACTCCCTTCTCTTTCAATTGCCCTAAGATGGAGCTTTGTACTGTAGTTTATACAGGGTTTGTCCCCTCCCCCCAAAGCATATGATGGAGTCTGGTCATTGCTGTGAACTGTTCACAAGAGTGGAGACCATGGTCTTAAGAGGTTGGGTCTTTGAGGGGTGATATGAAGCCAATAAGATTGGAAGGACCCCCTAAATGGGATCTTTACAAGAAGAGTCTGTAAGAAGAGGGAGATAGAACAGAGGAATCAGCTACATGGATGCTTCCTGTCTCTTCCTACATGTTGTTTGTCCCACAAAGACACCAGATGTAGCCCTTAGACCTCAGACCTCACAAACCATGATCCAAATTCAACTTTGTTTCTTGAGGCCTTGCCTGCTCTGTGGCCTTGTATTGTTGGCAAAAAAAGAAAGAAAGAAAGAAAGAAAGAAAGAAAGAAAGAAAGAAAGAAAGAAAGAAAGAAAGAAAGAAAGAAAATGGCCTAAGATAGCTTTGTAATTATCTCACTTCCAAAAAAGAAGACTAACACTTAGAGAAACTGTAAGTGACTTGCTTCCAATCAGGTAGTTCTGAAGTCAAGGCAATCCAGTCCAAAGCCCAGTCTTTTTTCTTTATTTAGAAAAATTATTTTATATGTATGAGTGCTTTGCCTGCATGTATGTGTGTCCAGTGCCAAGAGAAGCCAGAAGAGGGGTGATGGATCTCCTGGGGCTGTAGTTACAGACAGTTGTGAGCTGCCATGTGGGTGATGGGAACTGAACTCAGGTCCTCTGCAAGGGCAGCCAGTGCTCTCAACTTCTGAGACATCTTTCTAGCCCCCCCCCCCAACAATGCCCAGTCTTAACCTCTTTGGTGACCAACAGAACGTGTATGACCTGCATGCATACTACCTTTACCAGTCACCTGGGCCAGGTACAAAGCCGTCCCCGGCTCCTTCAGAGTTCTTCCCTCCTAACTGCCTATGTTTTGGGAAGTTGGTTTTGAGGGAGTCACATGGAGACTAGGTAGAGTCCAGCCAACACATGCACCTTGCTGCTACAGAGTATTTTTGTTTCATTTTGTGTGTGTGTGGGGGGGGGCAGAGGAGGGCAGGTTGAGACAGAGCCTCTCTCTGTAGCCCAGGCTGACCCTGAAGATTATAGGTATGTGCCACCACACTAATCATGGAAGTCTTTTCAGACAGCATCAGCCAGTGGCTATTCTTCCCAGCACTTGTTTGGAGATACATCTCACACATCTTCTACCCGTCTGGACGCTGTTGACATCCCAGTTTGTAGTTTTTTTTTTTTTTCAGAGCTAGAAGAGTACCCTGAGGATTGTTTGTCAGCTGTTCTTATTTTACCCATTTTGGTCACTGTTTTATTTATACAGTCTACCCTGGTCTCCTTGTGCACGTCACGTCTGGGCTCCCAGGCATCATTTGGTTTTCCTAAGTCAGGTTTCAGGAAGGGCCCCAGTCTCAGCAATAAGAACAGCAAAGGCAAACTGCTTGTTTAGAGTTGAGTGTGACTCTACTCTGTGTGCTCTCTGCTTGGGGATGTGGGGGGAAAGCCAGCTCTATCTGGTTATATTGGTCTCTTGATGGAAAAGAGAGCCATACAATGCTTTTTGTTGTTTGGGGACAGAATCTCCCTATGTATCTTACGTTGGCCTCAAAGTCACCAACCTTCCCCCTCAGCCCCCTGAGTGTTTCATGTGTGAACTACCACCACCCCAGCTCTCATAGAGTTCCTTGAAATGTGTCTAAGCTGCTGTAACAAACCTGTCACTTGGGCAGCGCATGGTGTCACACTCCTTTAATCCCAGCGCTTGGGTAGCAGAAGCAGGCAGATCTCTCTGTAAGTTCTCTGCTGTGGCCTCCATGGGTGTTCTTCACAGTTGAGAACATTCTATCAGCCTCATCGTTCAATGCAGGACCTTAATTACTCCCCCGGATCCTTGAAAATAACATTATCATTTTCCTTTTTGGAGCTTCTCAAGCTTAAGTTACTTGATTTCCCTATTTAATTTCTAAGTTAGCTTACTGTAGATGATGTATCTTTGTGCATAAAGCTGTGCCTGCATCTAAAATACCCTACATATAAAAATACCGCATGCTAGCACTAACTGATGGTACCAGAGAGTGTTCTATTTGTTAAGGGAGATAATTAGACGATGAACTCCTATTTTTCAGATGAAAACCCAGTAGTTGAGAAATAAGTACATTGAAATGTCATTTTCATGATAAAAGGCAGGCTACTACCAACTTAGAATTGCATTTAAACAGTGTCACACTTCTGTCAGCCTTTGCCTGAGGGTTGTGAGGCTGGGTGATGTTCACATCAGCTTGATCTAAGAACTTCTTTTTGGTCCCCACCTGGCATAGCAATCAAGTTCCAAAGTCTTATCAAGCAGGTATACCTCGGACTCTATACTTACATGTAGTCCCCAGCATGAGGATAAAGGGGGAGGGGAATGAAGACTATTTGGTTCTCAGCTGGAAATGGTGAGGCAGACAGTCTGCTTGATGGTAGGACATCCAATGAGAGCAACATAGGCTGTGGAATTACACATCTTCTGTGTCTCTGATATCTGTGTGGCCTCAGGTCCCTCTCTAAACCTCTCTAACACTGTTTTTTGGTCTGAAACATCTTCAGGCTGTGGATCAAAGGCACTGAGCACAGTATCGGCATCCCAGCAGCCAGTCCCATCTGGGGCTGCTAGAGTGAGCAATGCTCTGCCCTGCATTCAAGAGCCAAGCAGTGGTGGCAACGCATGGCACACTCAGCCTTCATTGGGAACAGACACTGCTCACCTCACAGAGGTGACCTTGACAGGTTGATAGAACTGGCTTTCAAGGAGAATGGCTGGAAGGTCTGCCAATCAAGCAAGGTGACAAAGAGTACTTCAGTGTCACAGACACTGCTTCAACTTGGCAAATGTCTGCTTGCTCCACAGTGGCAGGCTTGGTGGGAGTTTTGCAAGGCAAGTCCATTCTATGTGTCGCTAGAATCCGAGCTGCTGTAATGAAGATGCCAGCTAACACTGGATCACCTTTTCTCTTTGTATCCCACACTTTTTATTAGTGTGTTCATCTATGAGGATGGGAGCCCACACCTTGGAGTGGCCTGACTCAGGATGCCAGAGTTTGAGAGAATGAGACAGAAAAACTGACAGAGATCAAGACCCAGAGAGAAGATGGTGCTGTGGGCAGCCTGGCAACTGTCTGCTGTGACATTTTAACCATGACCTATCCGTCCCCTGGTTCCCTGAGAGTCAGCCATCTTTAAGTTGGGGTTCTGCCCCTTATAATTGTGAGTCCTGATGAGAAAAAGTCCTTTTCTAAATTTTTCTTTCTAAACCATAAAACCAAGACTTACCAGGGCTGGAGAGATGGCTTAGCAGTTTAGAGCACGAGCTGCTTTTCTAGAGGATTCAGCTTCAACCCCCAGCACTCACGTGGTGGCTCACAATCATCTGTAACTCCAGGTCCAGAGAATCCAATGCTCTTTTCTGGCCTCTGTGGGCACCAGGCACACATGTGATGCACAGACATTCATAAAGGCAAAACACTCATATGAACAGCAAAAAATTAAATTAAACAACATCATAGAGCAGAGTGTGGAGGAACGTACCTTGAATCCCAGCACTAGGGAGGCAGAGAGGGTGTCTCTCTGTGAGTTCAAGCCCAGCCAGGGCTACATAGTAAGACTCTGTCTCTAAAATGAAAGAAAGAAAGGAAGGGAGAGGGGGGAGGGAGAGGAAGAGAGAGAGAGAGAGAGAGAGAGAGAGAGAGAGAGAGAGAGAGAGAGAGAGAAAGAAAGAAAGAAAGAAAGAAGGAAGGAAGGAAGGAAGGAAGGAAGGAAGGAAGGAAGGAAGGAAGGAAAGAAAGAAAGAAAGGACACAATAGTACAATAGTGCCACAGATCACAATAGAAATCTCTGGAAACCAACAAAGCATTCTAGAAACACAGTGTAGATGCACTCCTTGAAAGCCTGGTCTCACAAACAGCATCCTGAATGTCTTTGCTGGCATCAGGTTGAACAGCCCACATGGGGCACAGTCCACCTTTCTCTCTCAGTATCAGTGAAAGCAGGCCTCCGAGGAACAACAGGAGCATTGAACCATGCCCATCACAGACGCTAACGTTCCCCAAATGCTCCCTCAGGGGTCAGTGACAGAGGGTCTTTTCTTTGTTGGCTCCACCAATCACCCCGACCCTAGGATGGTTTGCATGGAGCCCTTCATTCTGCTCCCCCCCAGCCGTGCCCAGGTTAATGACCTGGAAAAGCACGTCATCATCAAACATTTGCAGAAAGCAGAGGGAGCCCTGACCCAGGCATTTTCCCTGCAGAGGAAATGCTCACGAACCCTGCTTGTTCTGACGACATTTGCATCATTTCTCAAAACTGTGTAATTAAATCCTGTGTAAACAGATGGGCTCATTTGTTTGGTCCTAATAGCTGTAAAATGTGGATATTGTGTGTACTGACAATTATGAATATTTATCTTTACCAAGAAATATTCTTTAATTTAAAAAATCCTTTATACTAAAGAGAAATTTTTTTTTTGTTCTTTATAGAATCACACAATGCCTTTTTCGTCAGCCAGAGGCAGCCACGGATTGCTGGGCATCCCTGGGAAGAAGCCACAGAGCACTGTCCCCCTGTGCCCAGAGTGCATCTTCACACACAGGTCCATGTCAGGGTCTACAAATGAACTAATAAAACTGGATTCCCAGATAGGTGCCGTTTCATGTTTAGGAGCCCAACACAAGAGTCCAAAGTGGAGATGTGGGCAAAGATACACATAGATGATGCAGAGTGCTGGGTTAATGGTTCCTGGAGCAGGGAGAACCATATTCCTCATTGGTGTAGTCACTGGTAAGTGGTCCTTAATCAAGCAAGTAACCCCACCACCCCATGCTCGTGCAAGACCTCTAACGAAGTACAGCAGGACTCACACACATCAAGACTTGAAGGTGGGAGGGAGGCTTACGGAAGAAGGACTTCAATGGGAAGAGATTAGAGGTGACTACGGGGAAATATGACCCAAGTACCTTGTGCGTGCGTGTGTGTGTGTGTGTGTGTGTGTGTGTGTGTGTGTGTGTGTGTGTGTGTGTGTGTGAGAGAGAGAGAGAGAGAGAGAGAGAGAGAAAGAGAGAGAAAGAGAGAGAGAAATGAAAGAATAAATGTTTCTTAAAATCATGCCTTCTGTGTTTGAAGGGCTTGCAGTTTAGACCAGAATTTCACCACAGAATCTCCTCCAACGGCAGTACCACTCGGTACTATCCAGTACAAATAGCTGGCGGACACTAGGAATTTATTTACTGTGACTGAAGAATGGAATTTTACATTTAATTTCATTTTAATTAATTTACATGTAAATAGAAAAAGACACTCGAGGGGTGAACAGTTCCGATGTAGTGGATGCTAGAAAGACTCAGAGTGCAC